AAGTAGATGACTTTAATACCACATTCTCATCAGTAGACCAGTCGTCCAGACCAAAAAAAAAAGAAGTCAATAAAACAACTTTAGAATTAAGAGATGTCTGTTAAGATCAAATGAACTTAACAGACATCTGCAGAATATTTCACTCAACAGCTGCAGAATACAGATTTTTGTTCACAGCCCATGGAACTTTCTCCAAAATGGATTCTAGTTTAGAACCTAAAGCAAGTCTTAACAGACACAAGAAGATTGAAATAACTTCTTGTATTGTATCAGGCCACAACAATGGAATAAACTAGAAATTACAGAGAAAATATACAAACATGAGGGAACTGAATAATACACTTTTGAGTAATCAAGTGGGTCACTGAAGAAGTAAGGGGGAAATAAAAAATTCCTAGAAGAAAATAAAAATACAACATACCTGGACCTATGGGCCACACTAAAAGCAGTTCTGAGAGGAACATTTATAGCTAAAATGCCTACACTGAAAACATCAGAGAGGTCTTGAATAAATAGCCCAACTATGCATCTCAAGGTCTTAGGAGAACAAGAACAAGCTAATTGCAGAATAAGTAGGAAGAAAGAAATAAGGAAGAGCAGTGCTGAAATTAAGAGCATGATACTGAGAGGCAATGAACTAAAGAGTTGATTCTTTGAAAGAATAAACAAGATCGACATACCTTTAGCCATTCCAGCCTAAAGAAAGAAAGAGAAGACCCAAATTAATAAAGTTAGATATGAAAAAGGTGACATTATAGCATACACCACTGGAATCCAGAAGATCATTAGGCAATGTCTGGAAAACTGATATTCCAATGAATTGGAAAATCTGAAAGAAACAGATAAATTTCTAGATACCTATGCCCTACCAAAATTGAACAAAGAAATTACAAATAACTTAAACAGAACAATAAGAAGGAATGAGATTGAAACAGCAATAAAAAGTCTCACAATAGAGAAAAACCCAGGACAAGATGGAGTCACTGCTGAGTTTTCCCAGATTTTAAAGAAAAACTAACATCAGTGCTTTCCAAACTATTCTGCAAAATCCAAAGGGAAGCAACACTTTTAAACTTACTTATTTAGCCAGTGTTACTGTGATACCAAAACTGGATCAGGACACAAGAACAACAACAAGAAAAAGAAAACTGTAGGCTAACTTCCTTGATGAACAAAAATACAAAAATCCTCAACAAAATTCTTGCAAAGCAAATTCAGCAACACACCACAAAGATCAAACAGCATGATCAAGTTGGCTTCATTCCAGGAATGCAAGGAAGGTTCAACATGTGCAAATCAACAAACTTAATATAGTGTACCAAAACCTTCAACAAAGCTCAGCATCCCTTCAGGATAATAGCCCTGAAGAAACTCAGAATAGAAGTTCCTGTCACAACATAAAACGCAAACTTTTAGCCAGTATTATAGTGAATGAGGAAAAACTAAAGGCATTTCCTCTAAAATCAGGAATTAAATGAGGGTATCCACAATCTCCACTCTTATTCACTATAGTGCTTGGAGTCTTAGCTCAAACAATAAGGCAAGAGAAAGAAATAAAAGGGATACAAATGAGAAAGGAAGAAGTCAAACCAGCCCCATTTGCAGATGATGTGATCCTATACTTAAAATACCCTAAAGTTCTGATACATGTTTTCAGCAAAGAGGCCGGACACAAAATCATCAGACACAAAGCAATAGCTTTGCTTTTCACCAGTAATGAACTCACAGAAAGACAAGCCAGGAAAGCAGTCCCATTCACAACAGCCTCAAACAAACAAACAGTGGGGGCAAAAGCTCAACCAAAGAGGTTAAAGATGTCAACAGTGAAAACCAAGAAAGTACTGAAGAAAGAAAATGTTAGAGACACTAGAAGATGGAAAGAATAGCAGAAAAAATGTTGTTAAAATGGCCATACTACCAAAAGCAACATTTTTTGTACTTTTAAATTAAATTAAATTTTTATTATATTATTGTGGTACTGGGGGTACATTGTGACATTTGCAAACATTCTTACAATATATCATTGTTGAATTCACCCCTTCATCATTCTTTATTCCTTATCCCTCATTCTTGGAATAGTTTCAACAGGTCTCATTTTTCCATTTTCATACATGAGTACATAATATCTCCAACATATTCTCCTCCCACACCCTTTCCTTATGTCCTCCCCTCCCACTGATACCAACCCCCAGACAGGACCTGTTTTACCTTCCTGTCTTCTGGTTTTTTTTAAGACTTTTTGTTCAAGATAGCTTCAGTTTTTTAAAACTAGAAGTCATCTGTTATTCTTATTAATTTGTACATTTCATTTTCCTTAGAAAAGCAACATCGTAACTCATTGTAATCCCCAGCAAAATTTCAATGTCATTCTTCATAGAAATAGAAAAAGAATTCATGTAGAAACACAAAAGACCCCAAATAGCCAATTCAATCCTGAGTAAAAAGAGCAATGCTGGAGGTATCAAAATACCTGGCTTCAAAGTCTACTGCAGAATCATAGTAACAAAAACAGCATGGTACTGGCATAAAATAGATAGGCCAATGGAATAGAATAAAATGTCCAGAAATAATCCCAAGCAAGTACTGCTATCTGATTTTTCACAAAGGTGCCAAAAGCACACACTGGAAAAAAGACAGCCTCTTTTACAAGTGGTGCTAGGAAAACCTGGATATCCACATATGGAAGACTGACACTAGATCCCCGTCTCTTACCCTGTACAAAAATCAACTCAGGAAATAAGAGCAAGAATTGATTTAATGTGAATATTTCACATTAAAAAGCTTCTGCACATCAACAGAAACGAATCAACAGAGTGAAGGGACCTCCTACAGAATGGGAGGGAATCTTTGCCAGCTATTATTCATCAGACAGGGGTAAATATACAGAATATATAAAGAACTAAAAAAGCAAAATAACACATAATCCAGTCAATGAATGATTGACTTCACCCCCATTCCTGGTATGAAGAAAGGACTTGGCCTGCCAGCAAGTTTCAGTAATATGAACAGCTGTTCTCATTAGAAGCCAGGCAGGGCTGGACAGTGGTGGCTCACGCCTGTCATCCTAGTTACTTGGGAGGCTGAGACCAGGATGATTGTAGATTCAGGCTTGCCTGGGCCAAAAAGGTTGTGAGATTCCATCTCAACAGAAAAAAGTGGACATGGGGTTGGCACACCTGTCATCCCAGCTACAGCAGGAAGCATAAAATAGGAGGGATCACAGTCCAAGGACAGCCTGGGCAAAAAGCAAGATCCTGTGTCCAAAATAACCAGAGCAAAAAGGTCTGGAGATGTGGCTCAAGTGGGAGAGTGCTTATCTAGCAAGTGCAAAGTCCAGAGTTCAAAATTCCATACCACCAAAAAGAAGAAAGAAAGTGGCAGGCGGATGGCATATTTAAAGGCCATAATAAAAAGATAAGAATTCTGTATCCAGCAGGATACAGAAAGAGCAGCTTTTGAATTTCCTCACCTGGAACCCTATTGTCTTGGTGTCTATAACTTGGCCCATCCTAGGTAACAACACACACCGCATACCCATCTTTTATGACAGTTTAAATATGCCACTTTGGACATTCTTTAAATGTTCCTGTCCTTTCAATAGAATGGAACCCTTCTGAGGACAGGGATGTCTGCTTGAATCTTTTGCTCACTGGTAAGTCACAAGTGCCTAGAACAGTGCCAGCACACCTGGCCCTCTGTAAACTCTTGTCCAAGGAGAAAGTGAAGAAGTGAATTATTATTGATTATCAATGATTGAGCTCTCCCAAGGTACAAGGTGGACTGTCATCTTTTTCCTAGTTCACATAAGAGAGGGTAGACACGATGAAGGCTTGGGTACATTGCTGGAGCTGGTGGAGCTGGTCAGGGCTAGTGGAGTCCAGGTCTAAGGCCTGTTTCCCTCCTGCCCCTCCTGGGCTGGGCTCCTCTTGGGAGCTGTCTTCAAGAGTGCACCTTTCCTTTTATTTAGTATCTGTGGCTCCCATCATGAAGGGGTCCTAGGGATAGTATATAGGTTCAGGAAGTCCCAAACTTAGAGAAAAGTCAAGGACACTTTGAACAAAAGTGAATAAATGATCAGGACTGTGTTTTAACATCTTTTAAGATACATCTTAAAGCTATAAAATGTTTAAAGACAAACACTATATATGATTTTCCTTCATTTCTCAAATTTTCCACAAAGCATGTTTTAATTTTATTCTTAGAGAAAACAAGAAGAACCATCTTTTTTGAAGTCTTACCCCTGCTGGAAACATCGTTCTGCTCTGTGGGTGGGCACTGAGTTTTTGAGGCTGACCCCAGTTTTATTATAGATAAATAAACACTTGTTACATGGACTGTTTCATGCAGGTCTGTGGCCCTCTGCACAGTAACTCAGAGACTTTGTCCCTGTCTACCGTGGGGCTCTGACACTATACCCAAAGCCTTGTGGTCACCTGCATCCAGCTGGGCCTTATGGTTGCCTATGTCCAGCTGGGCCTATGGTCACCTATGTCCAGCTATAACTTGTAGTCTTCTGTCTCCAGCTGGGCTCTGCGGTCACCTGCGTCCAGCTGGGCCTGTGGTTACCTGCATCCAGCTGGGCCTTGTGGTCACCTGTGTCCAGCTGGGCCTGTGTCTATCTGGATCCACCTGGCAGAAGGGGAAAAACAGGGTGTGGTGAGGGTGCACACTTCTTCAGAGCTTGCTGCTTCTACTCTGTGCTTCTTTCCACCTGCAGTCACACGGCCTCCGTAGGAGGGGGCAGAGCTAGTGGACGGCATGTCCCTGTGTGTTGGGAGGTGTCAGCACACTCTGAGTGGCACAGCAGCTACATCCTCTGTGACCAAGAGGGCATCCTGTGGCTGCTCCAAGCCTCAGTCTCCTCACCTGTAGGAAAGGAGGAAGCCTTCGCTTCCAGCTGGCATTGAGGAGCAGGTGGACATGTCTATGCAACTCTGGGGGCTGTGATTTCCTTGGTGACTGAAGGGAGGTGAGACCAGACTCTGCTTTCTCTCTTGCAGTATCCTTTTTGCTGACATTGTGGGCTTCACTGGCTTGGCGTCCCAGTGCACAGCTCAGGAGCTGGTGAAACTTCTCAATGAGCTCTTTGGCAAGTTTGATGAGTTAGCCACGGTAAGTAACAGCGTTTTCCGTCACTTGGGTTAAATCAGAATGGCCTCTGGAGTAATGCTGTGCCAGAGGACAGTAATGCTGTGGACTCCTGTGTCTGCCACCTGAGTCTGGCTATTCTTCAGTAAGGTGCTAAGTCACTGTCCTTCTGAGGCTTGCTGTTCATTGATTCCTGTCTTTGGACTTGAGCCCTGCACAGGCCAGATGAGGAAATGAGGACAGCAATCTTCCAGCTGAGGCCTTCAGGCAGAAGCCTTGTCCCACAGTCAGCTCTCAGCCCAAGCCCTGGGCAGGCAGAGCCAGTGACCACAGCCCTTGTTCAGAGGCGGTTGTGACTGTGTCTGCTGATTCCAGGTCTTGTTCTAGGCTGAAACTGTCTGCAGGGGCCTTGCTGCTGATGTTGGACATACTGGCCCAGCGCAGGGCTTCACGCTGTACTTCATAAGGACCTTCTTGGCAGCTAAGTTCTGCTTTAGGTCTGGCCAAGGGCATGGTCACAGCCTTGGCTTGTGGTGAGCTTAGATACTGAGATGAGCCCACCTGGCCAAGCCTATGCCTGTGGCTTATTTTTCCTTGGCTACTCTATGGATTCAGGAGCCCTGTTGTCCACAAGACCCCTGAGGACTCTCAGTTTTTCCTCTTCCCCCAAAACATGCTGGTTTAGAACAGGAATAGGGAATGGAGGGGCTGGGATCTGAGCTGCAGAAGCCACTAGACTGTTGTGGGGCCAGGAAGGGCACGTGCGCTGAGAGGCATCCATCCCTTGAGAGGCATCCATCCCTTGAGAGGCATCCATCCCCTGCCCTTCACTTTCCTCTACCATCCTGGGAATCCTGGGGATGAATTTTACTGCTCACAGCAATGATAGGATCAGAGCTAAGAATGTGACCCATTACTTGGTGGCAGAGATGTCTGTGTGGCTTGTTCATCTGGCCCACCCTCTGTGATACTGGCCCAGTCTGTGCAGGCAGGGATGTCTTCTGCAGGACACTGATGACAGCCCAGGCTGGCCTCTCACTGCTTGTGGGAGGGAACAGGGTGGGGATGCAAGGTTGGAAGACTTGCTGGGGTGCTGTCTGCCTGGGCATTCTTGCACCCAAGACCCCACCATCTCCACCCTTTGCAGGGAGGTGGAGGTACAAATGAATGGAGCCACTTTCTTTCCCCAGATGGGGGAGTTTGCAAGGGAAGGAGCAGCCAGCTGGGAGGAAAACCAGTGTCTCTCTCAGTTGAGGGACACTGGTGGGAAAGACTGGACATTCCCTGGGAGAAGGAGGAGAGAGCAGAGGGCCAGGCACGAAGCTGAGGGTCATCTGAGTTCAGTGCAGGGCCAGGTGGTGGTCACCTGGGGCTGAGGTTGCCAGACTTGTGGCACCTGGGGAAATTTTGGGGCCTGACTTCAGGTGGGAGAAAATCTAGGAGCCTGCTTTAGACTCCTGGGGTAGGAAGAAGGCTGAAGGTGGCAGGGTGGGGGAGGGGGTGGGCATGGGGACTTCAGACCCCTCTCCCTTTGGGAGGTTCCTGTGGGAAGTGAGGCTCCTGAGGTCCCGTTGTAAAGTTGTAGTGTATAACCCTGATGCATCAGTTGCAGGAGCCCTGTCTCCTGGAGCACCCCTTGGACATCTGAATGCTGTGGGTCCTCGCTTGGGAAAGGGTGCATGCCCCTCCCTGGAGTCCCTCCATCTGGGACTGCGCACATTCCAGCCAGCATGATGTTTTTGTCAGGCTCCAGGGCTGCCTGTCTGCAGGCCCTTGCAGCTTCGTCTGGTCATCTGCTGAGCCTGTCCCCCTGGGCATGGCTGTGACGGTCTTCACATGTGCCCCTTGTCCCCCCTGGCTTCCTGTTCAAAGTGAGGATTCCTGGCACAGCATGAAGGAAGTGTGCAGCTGTGGCGGGGCACAACCAGTGTGCAGGATGCTGTGGGAGGCATGGGTCTCTAGTGCCTGTGCCTTTGGTTCAGAAAGTGTGTTTTGTCCAGACACTGTGGTTGGTGGAAGCTCCCAGGAGATACTACAGCAAGTGATGTTCCCAGGGCCTGTTTCTTGCTTCTACCCTTTTGCAGGAAGCTCATCCTGTTGGAAAATTCTGGATGGAGGTTCTCGCTTGGTCCTGTCTGGGCTGTTTTTCTCTCTTGTGCTCTGAAGCCTGTATTGTCTACAGGATGGGGTAGGACTCTCCACCTTGACCATCTGATTTGGTCATCCTGGCAGCCCTGAGGTCAACATCATTGTCCCTGAGGGGACAGATCCCATGTGTGATCATTCTCAGCCCCCCTGCTGACCTCTCTGGAGACTCCCCAGAGCTCTTACGAGGGACTGTCCCATGGGTCCCCCTGACCCACTAAAGGATCAACAGTGGAACAGACTTCAGTGGCCACCGCACCGGCCCTTCATCAGGTAGACAGTTTGCAAACGTTTCCTCTAGGCAGGGACAGTGTTGTGAAAAGTGCAGGCGTTTCTGGTTTCCACAGAGTCCAGTTGAACAGTTTTCTCTTATCAGAGTTGTAACGTTGGTGTTATATCTGGAAAAATCTTTGCTTAATGAAAAGTCTAGAGAGCTTGTCTTCCACCTCTGTTTTTTTCCCTGGAAATTTTATAGCTTTAGGTTTTCCTCTTGCGTCTTAAGATCATTCTTTAGACTCACAGAGCACAGAAGAGCCTCTGTGAAGGCTAACTGAATTGTGGACACCTCTGTGTCCCAGATGCTACGACATCCTGTGGGACGCGGAGCTCGGTGTCCCACACCTCTTCCCTCTTCGTCAACGTCAGCACAGCTCCAGTCCCTGTGTTTTCCAGGTTCTTCCTTTGGTGACAAAGCTGCCACATGGCTTCCAGGGGGTGCCTGCTGTACTCGTGCTGGGCCGTGGCTTCTGTCCACCCTTCACTGTCAGGGCAGTGCTGCCACTGCCCTTGTCGCTCAGACACTGTTTCTGGATAGCAGGGAGCCAGAGGCCAGTCATGTCATTGCAGCTGGCGGGTCCCTTCAGGTGGCCTTCGATTCTGTTGGTGGACGGTTCCAGGTGTCCACAGGGTCAGGACATTGGAAATGACAGGCAGTCCCACAGCTGAGTTAGTTTCTCAGTGCCATAGGGCGCCTCCCCCATAGCACAGACCTTCAGTGTTGAGTGTCTGCTTGTGACTTGGAGCTGAAGAGAGTGTTTCCCAGAAATGTTCTAGAAGCCCATTGTAATGGAGCCATTTGGGCCTGATGCATGTGGCCGGAGAGAGCAGAGAACTCTTTGGAGTGTAGGGCTGTGAGGCTGAGCATGGGTGCTGGGCTTATCCTCAGGGTGTTCATCAGTGGGGTACACACAGGACTCTGAGGTTGTGGGTGCATGCAACAAGAGGCCCTGGGGTGCACAGAGGGCTGTGTGATTGTGGGTGCTGAGTAGTGATGGGCTTTGGAGTGGTGGACAGGGGCCTCTCAGGTTGTGGATTCCATGCAGTGACAAGCCTTGGGGTGACACAGGGCTCTGAGGTTGTGAGTGCCAGCCAGTGACAGGCGTCTGGGTGCACAGAGGGCTCTGTGGCACACAGGTGGGGTGCAGAGTGACTGTGTGTTTCCTAGCACCAGACAACTGGCTAGTGGTACGAAGCGGGGAGCAGACCCAGGCAAAGGGCTGGGCTTGTCATCTCTTGACCCCTGCCCTCCGAGTCAGGGGACAGCTGTCATAGCGTAGGCTGAAAGTTTTGACTTTGGCTGCATCTTGCAACATGAGCAGGAGGTAAGGCCCAGCAACTCTCCATACAGGGAATCTGTCCAACATCCTGGCCATGACAACACAATGTCATCCTCATTCCAAGACGTTCATGTGGTAAAGCAGCTTCCCTGTAATCACAGGCAGTAGCAGAAGCAGTGTCCCTGTGGTTTCAAAGCTTGTTTCTCTCTAAGAGAACTCCTATTCATCCTTCAAAGCCCTAAAGGTCATCTTGTCTGTGGGGCTTTGCTCGTTTGGCCTTTTATCTTTGTCTAACCTTCTGTAGAATGGGGTATATCCTGTCCTTCAGAAACTTCCCATCCCATTACTATGTGGGGCTGTTTTGTTATAAGACAGTGGCCTCCTGTGGACAGGCCACACCTGTGTCTAAGCAGCTTTGTGTCTCCATGGTGACCAAGGAGCTGGCACACAGCCAGCTCATTGGCCTGGGATCTGAAGCTAGGAGATCTCAGGGTGGGAATGGTCAGAGAAGAGGCTAGGTGGCCTGTGCCGGGTACCTGTTGACCACAGTCACTCACCTATAGTAGCAAAGTCAGGCTAGGAGCAGCTGAGCTGCGAGAGCCAGCAGGCTGGAGTTTGGGTTTCCTTCAGGCTCCTCTTCCCATTTGTGATGGCCAGAAAGAGGTCCTGTTCCTTCTTTCCCTTTCCTATATCTGTGAACCTTGGGAGCAACCCAGAGGAAGAGAACCTGGTGGGGGACTTGGCTCATGGATACATCCAGGAAACAAACCCAGCCCTGAGGGGCCTTCAGGAGGTGCTGTGGAAGTCATGTGAGGACAGAGGGAGGAGGCTGGTCTTCCAGATCCCAGGACCCCTCTGTGAGTGCTCAGACCTGGCTAAGGATGGACTAGCCCCTGGCAGGCTCCCATCCATCTTATTCATCCTTCTATCCATCAGGGGTTCTAGCCTGACAGGGTCAGGCTGTGTAGCCCAGGCTGCCTTGAAGTCTCTCAGCCTTCTGAGTGCTGGGGTTACAGGTGTGGCCACAGTGCCCAGCCATCTGGCACTCTTTGGTCTTTCTCAGCAAGTGATCAGAAGACCTTGATCACATTACCAGGAACATGAAGGTTGGATTCCGGGACCCGATCCAGAGTCCTGGGACCCAGGGACTTTTGTTTTACTAACTGCCCTGGAGTTTTACAGTCTGAAAGTCACTTGCTAACAAATGTGCCTCTGTGCAGCCACTGGGCCTTGAGGTGCGTCCCCTGACATCTGCTCCCTGACCCGTGGATCTTTTTTCCCACCTTAGCCTCCTACCCAACAGAGCCACTCACCTTCTTCGCC